TGCGGACGAGCACGGCCCCGCCAGCATGTAAGGCCGCAGCATTTCCTACGGCTGCACGCTGTTTAGAGTACGGAGTATATAGAGTGCTGTGCAGAGCTGTGCAGGAGGTTGATTATGGGAGGTTTTGGATCCTGCATGCCGGAAATTTGTATGCTGGACACAGGTCCTGCCGGACATGCTGCTGATTGGGTGGCTCGTGCCGGGCTTGACTTGTCCAAGTCAAAGTCAGGTCGTCTCTTCACGTGTGCCGGCGTGCCCTGGCCCCTCCTTCACCCGAGGTCGTGAGCTTCGTCAGCTGGGCAGCGCTTGGCCTCCTCAGTCGCTCTGAGTGGTTTCGATACGTTTGGAATGTGCAGGCCCTCGCAATGACTCACCTCGCGCGGGAAGCCTCAGGCTGGCTCGGCCACCACGTGGAGCAGCCGCGCTTTGCGGATTTGGCGTCAGGCGCACGCTGCAGCAAAACAAGCACCGGATCGCCGCAGCTGCTCGGGAGTGTGCCGCCACTGTTGCCAGGAGTCGACGAGCCGATCATAGCCTACTCGAGCCTGCTCGCGTCCTTCCCCACCCCCGACGGCCAGGCAAAGGGCACGGGTTGCAGAGGGTTGCAGGGAGGCACGAACACGCATGCGGAGCTTCCCAGGTGCCCAGGGCGGTCCTGGCAGCAATGCGGGGCAAGGTCGCCCTCGACTTGACGACAGATGCCGCGGTGACTCGGATCCGAAGTTGCTTGTGCTTGGACCGCGCATTTTGGGTTAGGGGAATCTGCGTGAAGGGATGATTGTAGCATAAGCTGCGATGAGCGACTCGCTCGCCCTGAGCTCCGAGCTCCGGAAAAAACTCGGCACCCCCATGGCCTCCAGGCCCGCGGCTTGACGCAGCAGGGCCTCGAGAGGATCCTCGAGTCCACCGGCGACGCTCGCTTCCATGTCGAGGTGGTTGAGAGGCTGGCCATCCCCAGAGAGGCGGTGGTGGAGGGCTTGGCGACGTCGCATCGTACGACCAGTCTGCACCTCTACGGCTTCTACAACGTCCCGGCGGACTGCTGGGAGCGCTTGGGCGCGAGCCTGGACAGCGAGCGCCTGCGGAAGGTGAATCTCGTTGGGCCCCTCGACCTTTCTCTATCTGCGCTTTTTGGGAAGAGCTGACGCCGTGCCGGGAGGGAGCCGAGGTGCTTCTTCCAATCTGGCGCAGGCTCCAAGGCGCTGCTGGCCGGGCTGGCGCGGTGCGGGAAGCTGCAGGACACGCCGAGTTCCGAGCGCTCTGTTTGGTGGCCTGGGGTCTGCTTTTCTCAGGAACTGGCGATGGTCGGTTGCGACAGAGTCCCGGGCGAGGCCTGGGCGGAGCTCCGAGCTGCGGAGTGGCCGGAGCTCGGGAAGGCCAGCTTTGTTGCGCGCCTCGGGCCTGAGAGCTGGCGGGTCGGATATTTGAGGGGTGACAGTCGGAGGGTTGAGGGTTGGAGGGGAGACGGAGAGAGAGCGAGAGACAGCGGGGCCGAGGTGTTTCCAATCAAGCGGCGAGGGCTCGGAGGAGCTGCTGGCAGCTTTAGGCCGCTCCCAGCAGCTGGAGGCCGCGAGAGAAGAGGGCCCCACTCCTTTTTGCTTCCGTCCCGGCAGCGGCCGCCAGGAGGTGGACTTCGATCGGTGCGAGAAGATCCCCGACGCGGCCTGGGAGCTGCTGGGCGACGGGGCTTGGCCTCGCCTCCGCGTTGCGAAAGGCATCCCGAACGAGCACCTGGAGCGCCTGCGCGAAGCTCCTCTGGACCTCGAAGCGGGTGCAGGCGGGTGGAAGTGTGAGAAGCGGCGTTCGGCGCACTGGCTCTGGCTTTGGGTTCCGCGACGTCAGTCGAGAGATCCGGAGCCCACGGAGCGACCGCACTGTCATTGTCTCATGTGCAGCTACAGGAAGTATAAGTTGATGGAGGGATGGATGAAGGGATGCCTGCGTGGATGTCTGAGGAAATCCGGCCTGTTATGACCGGAAGCAGCCGCTAGAGATCGAAGCTGCGAAGCTTCTCACAATCCAAGACCGTCCGAGCGTCTTGCGAAGCACTGCCTGCAGCTCACCTGAGCACCACACCCTTCCGATCGACGCAGGCGAGGCGGCAAGCTCCATGGAGCTGCAGGAGCCCGGTGCCAAGCAGCTGCCGATGTACCCGGCTTTCATCACCTCCGTGCTGATGCCGGGAAACGGCGGCGCAGCGGCAGTTCAGAGGGACCTCGACCTGCTGCCCGCTCTGGCCCGCTCCGACGTCGAGGACGCGACGGCAGGTTGAAGGGCAGCTGGTGCATTCTGTAAGTTCATGGTTCCTTCTGTTCGACCTCTGATTTGTACCGGGCCGGTAACTTGCGTAGTGTGTGGGTGGTGGTTGATGCACGGATCTGAGCCCCTGCTTGGAGGGTCGGGGGACTTAGTAAGTGGGTTATACGTAGACTTGTAAGTACCCTAAAAGGGGTCCCAATTGGGGTTATGATACGTATAAGTCTGCAAAATAACTACTTACTAAGTTGTCCGACCCTCCAAGTGAGGGTGCCGAACGGCAGTTTGTACGTCAAGCTGCTTTCAAGATCCCTCCGGCCCGGGGGGCGGGCGGGCAGCAGAGAAAGGGGAGAGGAGGAGAGCCGAGAGGCACCTTGACAAACCCTTGCGCCCAGGAGCTCAACTTAGATGAGTGCCGGGACGTCCCTGCCGCCGTGTGGCAGCAGCTCGGCCAGGCTCAGGGTGAGGCGTTCCAGAAGCTCAGGAAGGCGAGCTTCGCATGGCGCCTCGGAGAGCAGAGAGTGCTTTGCGGCTCTCTACTTAATTAAGTTGCAGGGATGTGGGAGGAAGGGCCTGCGCCTTTTCTCTTGCGAGGTGCTTCGACGAACGGTCCAAGGGCGCCGAGAGCGCAGCCGGGCTGCTGTTGGCCTTGAGCCGCTGCCAGCTGCTGCAGGACGCACATAGCTTTCTGGGTCTCGTCAGAGCTTCGTCGGGTTTCCTGCCACTCTTTGAGGTCGAGCCACGAGGTGCTGATGACGATAGTCAAATGCTAGGCTCAGTGGTTAGCTCCCCGCTCCGAGTTCCACTGCGTAGAACCGCGATTGCAACAGGGAAAGGGCTGAAGAACCCTGGCCGCAGCCTGGAGCTTCCGACACCCCATGCGAGCCCAAACTCCGCTGCAGAGCAGAGCACCGGAGACCCGGCTCACGGCCAGGAGCTGGGCATGGCGTTTTGCTACAAAGTCCCGGCCGCGGCCTGGCAGCTCCTGGCAACCGCGCGCTGGGAGCAGCTCCGGAAGGCGGATTTCTATCGGCGCCTCGGCGGGCGGCTTTTTAAAGGGGGTGGAATCCTTTCTCTGAGGAGGCTTCGGCTCTGTCAGAGGAGGCGAGGGTTCCAAGGCTTCTTTTTGTCACTGACCCGCCTGCTGCGACCGAAGTGCCGCCGAATTCATCGAGGTGCTTTGGCCGTGCTTCCGAAGGTGCCGCGCGAGTCGGAGGGCTGCTCTCGGCCTTGGCACGCTGCCGGCAGCTGCAGGACGCGTCGGCGCGCGAGTTCGATTCTGCTTGCAGTTCCAAAGCTTCTGATGGAGCGGAGGCTGTGCAGAGGCGAGCGAAGCTGATGGTGGTGGGTGAAGCTTGAAGCCAAAATGGATCGGGCTTGCTACCTGGTGGTGGGTGGTGATATGTGTTGATGCTCCTTTCGAAGCTCACTCGTATATCGGTAAGCTGCGAAAAGGCTACATTCCTCGTCCCGGGAACCTCGCTTCGGTCCAAAGCCCGCATACGCCTGAAAAACCTTCAGTCCTTCTTGGGACCCGAGGCGGGCGTCTGAAGGGATTTGAGAAGAGAGGCCCGCCCCCGAAAGCGAGGACAACCAATCCGATCCTGCCGGCCAGGAGCTGCTGATGGGCGAGTGCCATCAAATCTCTGCCTCGGCCTGGCAGCAGCTCGAGGGCGCCCAGTGGCCGAAGCTCACGAAGGTGGACTTCGGGTGGTGCCTCGGCTTTTGGGCGCCTGTTGGAGTGTGTGTGGTCTGGTCGAGATCGTTGTTGGGGTTCGATGGGGATGTGGGAGTGGACGAGGCGGCGGGCACCCAGCCGTTTCACAGGAGCGGTCTAACAAAGTGTCGTGGTGTGCTTAGCTCAGAGCCTTGAAGCCGGTTCTTTCGCACTCGATGCTTCGTGCCGTGATTGAGGGGGCGCGGTGGGTTTGAGACGGCCGGCACCAAGCCATTTCAGTGGGAAGTTTCGATGTTCTCAGGGACAGATAGAGCTTTGGTAGTTGAGTTTGTGGACTGCAGACTTCGT